TACCAGTGCATCCAGGAGATGTGTCTTGTATAATATTGGTGCAGTATTTGAAACACTTTGTGAATATTTGAAGACTGGAAGGGGCACACTGTATTAACAAAGTTTAGCCTATTTGAAGCCAGGAGAAAAGATGGGGAAAGTTCTGACTATATCAGTTACCAGGGTTTCAATGCCCTGACATTTACACACAGAACAACCATATGGATTAACAATTAATATTGTTAATCCATATGAAGTATTGTGTTTTTGTAATGAAGATGTTAAATATGCATATTGCAAATAAGTTATTCTAGAAACAACTAAACCCATGTTAATTACTTGGTTTATAGTGGCAGGATCTGCACCAATCACCAGGACTGAGGAGGACACTGATTCTGGAGCACATGGGACTACGCAAGCTAGACCTCAGGAAGTTGGCCACCGTATATATGTCTCTTTGGAATTCAAGAATGATCATCATTAGCTCATGGGGTTATCTCTAAAGCATGATCTTAGTTAAAACCTCCCAAAAAATTCACTTTGAGCGTATTTTATGTTTTTGTTTTGTTTGTTTTTTAAATTTAAGACCCAAAATATGTGTAGTGGTTAAAAAAAACATCTGGAAATATCATAGCTAAATATGCTTATTGGTAGTCAGTGACATGACTGTGTATTTATCATTGAGCCTCTGTGATCTTCTGGCCCCGTCGACTGTAAAACCAAACACAATTCTGTGCTGGAAATCCTGCCATAACCTTAGGAACATGTTTCACCATTATACTTGTAACACACCCAAAGAAAGATTTTAGGTCTGACCAACCGTCTCAGTCGTGGGCAAAAAGATGACAGTCAATAAAATTCTAAAAGATAATTTATTGACAAAAAATATCAAGAGTTAAAAGATAAAACAGTCCAGTGTCCCATTTATGAATCAAATAAAAACACACAGTCCCAAGGCCAGAGCCAGCTATGCCACACGGCCAGTTGCACTCCACGTGTTGCCTTTAACAGGGTTAGAAGTTGTCCTTGGAGACCCACCATCCTGCAAGCATATAGCCAGTGGTCACTCCAGCCTCTGCAACTCTGCTGCCTTTAGGCTGTGGCACATAAGAGGCCCTGGCCTGCACAGAGAGACAAAACGACACTTTCACTATAAAATTCATAGCACAAAACCCATCCATCCCAAACATATCTGATTTCATCACATTACATACCTGCACAGAGAGACAAAACGACACAGCAGTGTTTGTAGTGTGGGCTATAAGTAGACCAGTGTATCAGTGCAATCAAGTACACCTGCCTCTAATTAGTCCAACCCCATTCCAGTCATTGGCTCACCAAAAATGTGACACACACAAAACCACTCCCAACCCAGTGCAACTTCACACAATAATATGGAGCTGAATTAACACAGGCACATTAGTCTACCATGTTACATACTCATAAATAAATAAATACATAAATGAATCAACAAATTAATAAAAACCGCCACTTTCGCTGGATGGACTGAGGCAAAGTTGTAAACTGCCCTGTGGGTTGATCATCTGAAATTTTGAATTGTTTCTGGAAATGACATTCTGGGCTTAAGAAAAGAGGGACCCATCCGTCGGTTATGAACTCACAGTTAAAAAGCTAGAGTCTGTGGTGATGTAGGCGTACATACAAGCGCATATAATTATTTTAATTACATTAAACAACCTTGACTTTCCGTGTTGAGAATTTCCTACTGTGGATTACAAATTCCCGTTAGTGGGAGGATAAGGTTGTGATGACCATTCAGAAGTACATGTCCATCAAGCATGGCTTCCCTTGGACTTGGGTGAGGCAGGGCTGAAATGTGCAGGGGTCAGACTCTCAGGCTATTGGGGAGGGTTACATTAATGCATCCTGGCAGTGTGGGATTTTTCCATCAAACACTCAAGTACAAATTCTGCATACTATGCTCACTCATAGAAATTCATATAATGCAATCCTCTCCAGCTCTTGAGCTCACTGTCACACATACACACATGTTCAGACCTCATCCTGCAACTACTGAGAAGCTCTAAGCGACAAGATTACTTTAAGTCATGGACAGCACTTCTTTGTTACAAATCTCTTCGTGCTGTTATTGGATGTGAATGCTGTTCCGCTTCTAAATCCATCCTGATGTTCAACACAATGGGACCATCAGAGCACATCCTTTAAACTGTGGAAAGCTTCGTAATTAGGAATTAGCAACAACTTTTCCATCCCTTCAAAAAATGGAGTGAAGCTGACTGAAGCCTTTAAGGGGTGTTAGATACTCCATGGGCTTTTGACTAAGGAAATGAAGGAAAAAAAGAGTAAATTATTTAATTAATGACCAGCAATCTTTGAAAAATGAAGAAGGAAAACATTCAGAAACATTACACCCAGACACATTTCTTTAAATTAAGCTTGCATGCAAAGAGTGGGAAAGAACAGACTTATATAAAACTAATATAAAACATATATATGGCCATACTGTATGTATATGGGTGGGGGTACAGCAGAGGTATCGATGGTCATACCTCCTGGCCAGAAGTTAATGAGTTTGTCACAAGATCCTTCTTACTTGGTGCTCCTGCTATTTATACTTAAAGATTTTTCCAGTTCCACAGTCAAAGGCACAGTTGTTAAAGAGGAGAATTTAACCATTCATACGAGAATTTAGGCCATGAAATTGGCACGGATAAGAGGCCCAAATCAGTAATTAAGAAGTTATGGGAGTCTTTGAATAGAATAACAAGGTCGATGGAAACTCTTCTGTAAAAGAAAAGTTTGACTTTATGGTAAATAATCCTATTTGCATTCTTGTCAACAGCCTAAGTATTAAATGTGAAGGTGCAGTTGACAACCTTTTGACAAATCCTGAAGAGTTAAGAAGGAAAGTCAGGTCACACGGGCCGACAAGGTAAAGAAAAGATAACACAAAAGGTGACATATACAATTTCAGAGATAAAATCAACTATCAAATCCCATCAGATCAGAATTATATACAAATTATCTGAGCACTTAGAGGTCCTACTTCTCTTAAACAACGTGGTACATGGTGGCACAGTGGTTAGCACTGTTGCCTTACAGCAAGAAGGTCCTGAGTTCAGTTCATCAGGACAGGGCTTTTCGATGTGGAGTTTGCTTGTTCTCCTTGTGTTTGCGTGGGCTTCCTCCCACAGTTCAATCGCATGCATTTAGTAGGGATAGGTTAATTGGTAACTCTAAATTGCCCATAGGTGCAAATGGTTGTCTGTGTCTATGTGTTAGCCCTGCAACAGAATAAATAAATATTATTATTTATAAATAAATAAATAAATAAAATAAAATAAAAAAGGTCTGTAAGTCTGTAAGTTAAATCTGCTTTTCTTTCCAGAAACTGGTGTTGTTTAGGGGAAAAAAACAATTTGTACATAATAGTAAAAAAAATCTTAGCTCCCAGTATTTTTAGAGTTTTATTGGACACTCATCAGCGCTGAAGACCTCGAGGCCTCAGTATCGCTAAAAAGACAGTTAGGCAGTGTAATCTGGTGCAAGCCAAATCTTTATTGTTAATATCTGACTTAGAATAATTTCATTTGTAGGCTTTGAAGTATCTTCTTAATTAAATTACCAGTAGAAACTAAAAGTTACAACATTTTTGGTACAGTAGTTGTACCTCTTATACCTTGAGTTATAGCTCCAATCTTCAATATGCTGCATAATCTTTGTGAGAGACTATTATGAAGTAAACGACGACAACTTGATTCAACATAACAAACCCCACAAAAAATTACCTTTAAAACTCTGTATGTAGACCTATTGTAAATTTAACATTAAAATCTTCTCATCAATAACCAAGTTCAGCTAAACCTTGTAAATTGTCCCCAGCAGCTCCTCTCTGTTCCCAGCAAATAACCTCTTGTCTGATTACAGGACCTGTTTAATCTTCATTCCTCCCTGTTGTGGTTAGAGGCGTGGGTACGAGGCAGATTATTTCCTGGCCAGGTGCAGTAACTTCCTGGAAGCCAAGCTAACCAGTCTGGTGTTGCTGTTCCATTTTCTATGACGCTAACACTGCATAATGGTTATAGTTCCACATAAAGTACATGAATTTTCCTAAATGACCTAGTATTATTTTTAAAAATGAATTGTGAAGTGGTGGGAAACCTGAATGTATCTGAAACACGTTAAGGACATGCGAGAAGGGAAGTTATCTGCCTGTGTGTTTTTGCTCTATACTTCATTATAACCATTGGAATGGCCTCCAGCAAGGAGGAATTAAACCTGAAAGATTCCTGTTATATAATAAAACATGTGTCTGCAGGCAGATGCCAGTACAGGGGGTCCTCTGCTGACACTCACATTACATTCAGCAAACAGGGAAACAAGGGAAGAGGAGGAGGATGAGCTATTTTGGTTTTGTTTGTGACTCTTTGTTGCAATCCCAAACTTCACCAACTGGTTGCAGGTCTGTGTGACTTTTGAGGAGGGATGAAGGGAAACCTTGAGACGAACAAGTGAACAAAGCAGGTACGGTGTTTTGACCAAAATCTTGATTCTCCTGTGTTTACTGGTTTCCTGAAAACGCAACTTAGAGTAAAGTTGTTGGTCGTCGAATTAAAGCTAATCCCATTTTCACTAGATAATTTGGATTTACAAGATCAGAACCTGGATACCCAAGTCACTGTCAAAAGCACCTCATTACAGTTTACATCTCACACTGTGGGAATTTCACCCTGAACACATAAAACTCAGCAGTAAACCCAAGAGGCGCAGGGTAAATAACTGTCTTGAAGTTTACTCTGACAGGAATTGCCATTGATCCCAGACAAACAATTCAACTTCCCCTTCCAGAGAAAGCTTCCCAGCAAAAAATAGAGCACCAGGGATGTAAGAATTAAGGGGGAGTGTGGAGAGGAAGAGGAGGAGATGGAGGAGGAGGAAGCGAGAGAGAGAGGGAGGGAAAGAGAAGGGAGGTCCATGGGGGAAACACTCTCTCGTGATGCCCTGTTTTTTCTTCTCGTGCCCCCTGTGTGGACAAACAGCTCGTGGTGGGAAGACACAACACTCAGATGCCGGCGTCAAGAGTCATCTTATGCTGATGTCCACAAGAAGGTGGTCCTACGATCGCGCTGTGGTCATCTGCATCTACACCTGCCATCCGTCCGCTAACTTAAGGAAGACTTAGTTCCTCTGAGGGACCATCTCTGCCTGATTGAAAGCAGCTTCTCGAATATCGGCACTAAAGCAGAACGGTGGGTAAGCATAGAAGCCTCTAATAATACTCAATGAAATTTCAGTGAAATGATGCAGACTTTCTGGTAAAAAGCTGCGAGCATCTCACCAAAGCAGCGATGAAGTCTTTAAGGGAGTGATGATATCTTGAAGAGCGGTACGATGGAGTGGGAGGCCTGGTCTGTGTTAAACTCCCTGTCCTCCCCGGCAGGTACAGCTGTCAACCCACTCGCATTAACTCTTTTCATCTCGCTCTTCTTCCCTCGTGGCTTTCATATAAGACAAATATACTCAAACAAGGCACAGCACTGGGGGAAACCTAAAGCACAGAGCCACCAACAATGCATACCTACTCAATGAAGACTTTAAGAAATCATTATCCCTGTGCCGTGATAATTCTGCATTAATGCTAGCACAATTTACCCTTACAGTTTCTGTTCTTCTACAGAGAAGTAATAAAATCTAATTAATGAGTTGCCTGTAAATACCAGTTACTCTTCTGAGTGATCATAGAGAAATACAGGCGAAAAAAAAAAAAACAACTAAAGGACTCTTTTGTTCAAGCAGGCTTTCTATGAGCTGATGCCTTAACAACGGTGGAAGACATTTAAATTCTTTAGTAACAGTGCTATGGAGCACAACTGCTCTATTATAAGCAAGTCTTTCATAATCAAAGAGGCCTCTTAAATACACAGGCGGTATTTAATGTTGTAACGATACAGTTTGGGGCGTTTTTTTCTCCTTTACTCACTATTTGGGATTTGTTTTAAAGATGAACTGTACATTTTGTTTAACTTACTCCCCCCCCAAAGTGCAGTTTTTATGTATGAAATAAGAACTTTTAGGACTTCATATTTCAAAATAACAGATTTATAACTTCATGTGATGCTCAGTAAAAAAAAAAAAAAAAAAAAAAAAAATCTTACTCTGTGATTTCAGCAGGATATTCAACCTAAATCTGAATCAGTGTTCCTCTGTTTGACATTGAAGCACCAACAGCTGATACATCCACACTTAAAAGTATCCATTAGCATGGCTTAGTGTGAATCCAGACTCCCTCTGCCATCATAAAAAAAAAGAGATTTGTTTAAATACCTGCCAGTAAAAGATAAAAGATTACCAGCTCGCTAATCTGAAAGCAGTGCCCTATGCCAAGGCTGAATGGTATGTGCATTACTGAGTATATAGACTGTCTTCAAATAAGTAAACACCGAAATAAAAATAGATAAAACTGCTTTTCATAATCAGGAGTTTGTTAGGAGGTTGTTTTGTTCCCTGAAACACCTTGCAGCTTTCTGGCCTGAAGGTTCCAGCGTAATGCCATATGCAGCACAACAATAGATCATAACAGGGCTGTGGGTCTGTGTACAGTAGTGGGTAGATGAAGAGCCAGACAGCCATGTAAGGTAGCAGACAGCACATCGGCCTGCTGGCTTCTGCTGGTGTGACTGATATATGGGAGCCCAGACCCGTGCGGGTCTGTAAGAAGTGGCAACAGGTGACTCACATGAGAGCAAAGAATTCTCACTCTCGTGCCAAATCAGATCCACTTTGTAGGTCACCCTACAGCAATCTAACACCAGCCAGCGTGCCACTATAGCTAAACTTAAACACGCTCATCCTCGATTGTAATCCTGGCATTCCAGGAACAAGTCCCTAACCCAAACAGCTGCTGCAGGACTGGGACTGACTCTGGAGACGTGCTAAAGTTCAAGCATTAGAAAAATAAATACGTGTGTGCATTGTAACTGGGAAAAATAGTACGAGAGAGTAAAAATAACCAACTGTGAGTGACTTCAACTTGTATATGCTTAGCATCCACTATGCTATTGATATCTAACTGAAATAAGCTCAGAAAACTTGTATGTACTGTTTTTAACACATAGTAGTAAAGCTATACTGAGGCTGTTTCATTGAGAGGAACGCAACACAACACAACCAAGGTCATAGAGTAAAATAGTGATAAGAGTCAAAAAAAACCCTCAGATAATAAAGTTTTATTGTATGCTATACCTAGTTAGAGGATGTGATAGAGATGAACATCACTACAATATATCATAATTTTTAGATTTAAAATTGAATTAAAAGCATAACAACCCAACTCTGGTTCATGTAAAAACAATTAGGTGCTTAAAACACAATGTGCAACATTAGTGTCTTGCTGTTTATTTAAATTTTTCCTGCAGTAATCTATGCAGCATTATAGATTGTTTTGTTTTTTTCCCAGCACTCATCACATTTCTGACACTAAAAAAACATCTTAGCACATGCAGCTCATTACAGAGGCTTTACAAATGCATCAGGCCTTATAGCTGCCGATTAAATATCTTCAAATAACGCACATGACCATTTTCTTCCCTAGTTTGGCTATTCAGTTAACAGGGTTTTGTATGCTGGTAACTCCAAAATACAATTAGGCCAAATTTGTCCTTCCGTAGGAAAGAAATGACTTTTCCTGATCTCTTCAGCAAATCCTTTCAGACACGAATAACACGATTGTTCTTAATCCACAACATACGTTTTCCTCCACTGATGGTAGTCTAAACAATGCCCCATCAGAGGGAAGCGAGCCAGGAAAGTGTATAACTCACCACGTTACTGTCTGTGTGCTTGTGATGACAGCGCAGATCAACCAGTGTATCCTGATCCCCTGAGAGCATCCGGAGTCTGTCAAACACGGCTTAGTGCTGAAAGGTGCACATCACTGAAGGAAAGTTTAAATCAACCCTGCCCCCTGTTGTTACCGGGCTGTGGATACACTGCAGGCTGAGGGGGAGTTGGAAAAAGAGTGTGTAGTTTATAAAGCTCATCAGTAAAATATCATCAAAAGGATTTTATTGTCTAAGATTTAGAAACCACAACTGAGGGAATGTGCCTATGTCTCTTTTGTGTTATGACACAAGGTGACTCTGGTGGGCATAAATTTATAGCAATACAAACATAGCTTCGTGTTCCTGTAAGATTTCCCCAGCCTTGGGCTTTGCCACCAGCCTCACTGGTTCTTAAACAAGCTCCACCGCCCTCTGGCACCGCTGATGTGCTTCTCACAGACTGCGGGATTTATTGTTGAGTTGCAAGGCAGAGAAAACACACAACATTTTTCCTGTTGGTCTACACTGAGTCACAGCAGCAGCCATCACCTCTCAGTGAAGTAGCTGCTGCTTTTCTCTTAATTTGTCTCAGCTGCCTGACTGATGTTCTGACTGGAAATTACAATAAGGCTGCACACTGTGAGCCCGGTTTGAGTTGACCTTGCAGTGCTGAAACATCATCGTTTTTCATTCAGTTCATCGTTTGGTTCATCACAGGATGTCTCCACCACATAAACTTTCCTTCTGTGAAGCTCCCTCAGTGCAAACACAGGCACTTCGATCACCGTCAAAGGGAATAAGTCAGGGATATGTAATGTTGCATTTACGCACTTTGCTATTTTGAATACAACATAACTAGATTCTCCATTACTCCTCCATTACAATACCACTGACATTATAAACAGACCTGACAGCTGTGATGGTGCACAGGCAAAGCGCACTGTTCAGAAAAGGGCACAGTGGATCACAGTAAATCCCTGCAGCACAGGTGTGATCGACAACCAGTGGCAGTAAAAGGCCCTTTGACAGAAACGGTTCATAGGAGCAGCTCGTCTCTGACCTCCACCCCTTTCACCTTCTGCTCATTTCAATGTCTTGCTCCTGCTGTCCACAGGAAATCATATTGTTTGAGATTGCTTCCTCCGAGAGCAGGAAGAGGTATTCGAGGGAAGGAGACCGTAGTCAAGAAAACAGCCTCTCTCCACTTGCTCTGAATTCTGCTTTGCCTTCCTTTCTCAACGCTGTGTATGTACACCATGTGCCCAGACTGATGGACTATAAGTCCTTTCTAAAAGAGGTAGTTTACGCAATCAAATCCTGCTTACAAGATATCAGCATCTAAATGGTGCACAGCTTTAGAACCACGGGGGAACTTTGGCAGCCTTGAAACTAATATTGCATTAAATTAAGAAACTGTGTGAGAGTCTGAATACCACTGTACCATTGTACAAATGGCTTAGGGAACAATCAGTCTTCACCTAATCTCCCTTTAAAAAGCAAAACTCATTAAAAACATGTATCTTCTTAAAGAACATCATTTTACAAAATGACTATGTTCTGGATCTCTTCTACGCTCATGGCTCGAATCTGGGATTCATTTAGAAAATGACACATGCAAACCAGCAAGAGATTGTCACACAGTTTGTCATAGCCCAGGGGGAAATGCATTGTTACCCAGATTTGCACAGGTTTGTTGTCAGTATCAGCTGATAAGAGCGTGGCTGTTTTAATGTGCGGTCTCCTGGCATTGTGCTGGCTGGATTCTCAGTCACGTCCTCAACTCTGCGGCTGTTTGCGATTTACTTCCAGTAAAAATCGTGAGCTTTTTATCCGTTTAAGGCTCAGGGCCAGCTGCTGTCCAGTTATCGAAGGTGTCAGATGTATGCTGGAAAAATAGCACAGCGCAGTTTTCCTGTGCTGCGCATTGGCTTGTCAGCCTTGGGCTGTGGATGGAGGTTAAACGTTTCTTTTCCAAAATGTTGTCATACTGGTGTTTTGTTTCCTACCACTCTGTGCTGTAGAGATACGGAGCACAATGCCCTGATTTTCCATCTTATTGCCATATATATACTTCATAGAGACACAGAGGGAGGGGGCGAGACAGATGGTCATGGTCATTTAGACCATATCTTGCTGTCACACATAACCAGAGTCAGTGTTAGCCAGTCGATTCAAAGCCTTGCACTGTGGACCAAACAGCTATTTTCTATGGAAACAGCTGCTCAAGGATTTCCTTCAGGAAGAGATGAGAGGTGGTAAGAAATCATATTAATATCCCCTGTGGCTTTTGTACCTCTCTTTCTCTCTCTCTCTCTTTAGACTTGTGCTTGGTTAACTTTTAGTTTTATGTTCTGGCTTTTTATTGTGAAGCACTTTATCTTGAAAGGTGCTGTATAAATAAATTTTTGCTTACTTACTTTGCTTGTAGGGATTATACTGTATATAATTTCCGTCCATGAAAGTATATTTGGCTTTTGGCTCCTTTAGAGTAATGTCTACATGTTCTGCTACACCACCAAACAGAGCATTAACTTCAAATGCGTGACGCGTTGGAAAAACCTGTTGACCTGTGACCTTCAGCCCTTTTTTCTTTCTGAGGTGTTTTAACCGGCTTTTATTTCTTAATTATGTAGTAAAAGCTAAAAGTAGCTACATGCATATTCAGCCCATAGATGTCAGAAGTCACCACTTGATCCAGTTTGACATGTTTTCTTAACCCCTCCATGATGGCAGTCATCTGTGTCACCCATAAAGCTGTCTAGTAAACCGCCTTATAGGGTCATTCTCAGCTGAGACTTCCCAGCCTGTCACTGCCATGTTTGGATCTTACCCAGACTCTCAATAATGCTTAAGTCAAGAGATTAGTTTGAAAAAAAAAGAGAAGAAGAAGCAGTCTGACTGACACCTCCAGATAGATGGAGACTGGAATCTGAGGGAGGGTTTCATCCCAGCAAGGGAGGACAGTGGCCATCTAAGCCATTGCACTGAAATTGTGAGTGGTGTGCCGCGGGGGGAAATGGGAAATGTCCAGCTCAGGCCAGGTCACAGCACTGAAAAAGGGCAAAGTCTTTCTGTGCTGACTCGCCCCTTTGATGGAGGCGTGTTTTGCTTTCTGTAATTTAATCTGTTTTAATAATTTGGAACAGGACAAGAGGGAATGTAAACACACATAATCTAATGTTTAACAATAATATTATTATTTTCTTTTACATGGCTACCAAATTTCTTCTCCTCCATCTGTCTCTCAGGGGAAAAAATGGCTGTTCTCATGTCACAGTATCCAGCCCTAAAGCGATTCACAGGCAGAGAAGCTATTTTTGTGCCATACAATGCCACTCATACACCAGGTCATTCCCATCAGCGGGAATGCAGATGATCTACAGCTGTCACTGATTGTCTGCTTGTATTTCTCTTTTCCCCTTTTCCCCTTACTCTTCCACTCTATTCATCCTCCACCTCAGAAACTCCCCCTTTCCCCCTCCGGTGCACCCTCTTTTCACCTTCCCCGTTGTTCCTACCAGCTCTTTGTGCTTCAGGTGTGCGCCCAGGCCGTGAGTAGTGATGGGGGACTGGACCCTCCTGGGGAATTTCCTAGAGGAAGTCCAGGAACACTCCACTTCGGTCGGAAAGATTTGGCTCACCATCCTCTTCATCTTTCGTATCCTGGTGCTGGGCACAGCGGCAGAGTCCTCGTGGGGGGACGAGCAGAGCGATTTCCTCTGTGACACCCAGCAACCAGGTTGCACCAATGTGTGCTACGACAGGGCCTTCCCCATCGCACACATCCGCTACTGGGTGCTGCAGATTGTCTTTGTCTCTACGCCCTCCCTCATCTACATGGGCCACGCCATGCACACAGTGCGCAGGGAGGAGAAGCGGCGAAAGAGGGAGCAGGAGGAGAGAGAGGCAAGAGGTGAAGAGGGAGGAGACCTGGAGGGGGAGAAGGAGTACCTCCAGCAGAAGGAGAGCAGAAAGGAGGTGGTTGCTGACAGGAGTGGCAGAGTTCGCCTAAAAGGGGCGCTGCTGCGGACCTATGTCCTGAGCATTTTAATCCGTACAATGATGGAGGTGACCTTCATTGTGGTGCAGTATCTTATCTATGGGGTGTTCCTCGATGCGTTGTACCTATGCAAGGAATTGCCCTGTCCCAATCCGGTTAACTGCTACATGTCACGGCCCACGGAGAAGAATGTCTTCATCGTCTTCATGCTAGTGGTGGCCGGCGTTTCACTGCTGCTCTCTGTGTTGGAGCTCTACCATCTCGGCTGGAAGAGCATGAAGAAGTACATACACAAAAAGATGATGCAAAAGAGCAAGCAGAGAGCTGTGACGGTAGCGGTGTCTGCAGCCTTGGAGTCCAACACCTCACCACAACCCTCAGTCTCCTGCACCCCACCTCCTGACTTCAACCAGTGCCTGAGAGCCCCCGCCTCCATAAACCACATGACCTCCATGGCCTCTCATCCCTTCAACACCAGAATGGCGCTGCAGCAGAACTCAGCCAATCTGGCAACTGAGCGACATCGTAGCTGCGACAACCTGGAAGATGATGAAGACTTCCTCAGGATGAGATACAACCAGGTACCAACAGACCTGCCCAATAACTGCTCGCCATTGCCTCTGCTACACTCAGTGTACTTGAAGGACAAACGGCGCCTGAGCAAGACCAGCGGGACCAGCAGCAGGGCTCGCCAAGATGACCTGGCAGTATAAATTCACAAAGTGTGGTGGATGAGGAAGAGAGGAAGAAGGGCTGGACCTTCGGAAGTAATGTGTGTCTGGGAGATAGATCTCTGTGATGGAGGCATGAGCTGAGGCTAACTATGAACTGTAGCACCAAGGCCTGGCACTTGAGCACATGTGATGAGTGGATAATGTGAACTTGACTTGTGTGAGCTTTGTGTCCTAGAGCTCTAAAAAAAAACTGCAAAACAAGCTGTAAAGGAGAATAATGAGAACAGAGTAACAGGTTTGACACCTGACTATTGCACATTAGGAGTAGAGAGTCCTTTCATTTTAAACCAGTTAACTACAGATTAGCTGATTTTTGTCACACACAAATGCAAAAAAAAAGAAAAAAAGATTTGCAATAAATAAAGCAATAAATAAAGACAAGATCGCAGTATGCTAGAAACTGTGAAGCTGTTCGATAAAGTGCCTTATCAAGTGTCAGAAATATCTATTTCCTTATGACATTGTTTTTGTAATTATTTAAAAGCCACGGTAGAGACTGTCATTTAAACCACTTGTTGACCTGATTGCACTATACCTGCAGGCAAACATAAAAACGTAACTCGGAAATAATAGCACTGCAGTCTCAAAGCCTGTCAGTGAAGTCAGTCCTATACTAGTCAGAAGTCTTCTGTGCACAGAAATGAGAGAATGTAGCCTTTTACAGGATTTTCTTTTTGAAGGTCCCTCAAAGAAAAAGCAAGCGGTCCTGCTTGGATGTTGTTATGAATGGATTCAGCCACTAGGTGGCAACAATGCACTAGCGTTTCCCTTTTTCTCTCCCGGAGCCATTGTGTTAAAAGTGTGTTCCTAAGAAATGTGTGAGTCGGTTGGTGTCTTTGAATGTATTGTTCTTGTAGCACAGTAACTGTGCGGGTAGTTCATAACCATGTTGTGAATATACGTCTTTACAAGTGGAAGATGATTTTTTAAAAATATATACATGTATATATATATAAACATAGCATAATATTTGAAGAACTGTCCATCCTGCTGTACATCCACTGCAGTCTTTGGCTATTTCACAAAGACATTTATGCAATAACTGTCATCGCAAACCCACAACAAATAAATAAATCATCAGCTGTAAAATCTGCTCTGTTGTTCTCAGCGTGTGATTTATTCAGTGCCGTACAACACTTGCTTTTGATTTGTCTGTCATATGAACATAGAAAGACTTAAGTATATGTAAATATGCACACACTAAACTGCACAAGATGAACATTTAGAACAACTAACATTTAAATAACGTGCTCAATGCAGAAATGCTGAAATCAAGAGAAAGTGATGCAATTTCCAGATCAGAACAAAGATGAAGAGTCTCCAGCATTTCTGAATCACTGTATCATTGCTGCAGCGACTTTCTGTTTGCCGTCCTCACAAAGGACCTGCAGGAGACAGATTGTGGAAGATGAGCAATGTTTACACAAACAGAGACTGTCTCGCCATTTCTGCCAGGACGCTGAGGTCTGGTATCCAGCCTAATCTGCCACATGCTGAAGCTGAATTGGAAAATCCTTGTTGCTTTTGTGTTATTTTTATTTCTGTGGAACCTCAGTGCTTTCTGAGATTGAGCTTCACAGAGATTTTTGTGTATTCTGAGTTAGACCAGGATGATGATAGCACATTTGCTGCTTAATGTTTTCATGTCTTCATTTCTAGAGGATTCATTTTTAAAAAATAGTTGTGCAAGAACCAGAATCAGCTTAAAAGGATATAAAGGGTCATACATAAAAGAAAGACAAACACGAGACTAAGCATCAAACTAAAATTAATACAAATGTAAAACCTACAAGGAAGTTTATAAGTTACTCTACAGTGAAAACTATTAAGTGTTATATATCTTTTCCAATTGGTGTCCTTTTGAAGAGGAAAGACCTCTTTCCAAACAAGAGTAAGCCCAAGGAGATTTTGCTTTACTTGAGTTATAATTCAGTAATGATTAAGAGGACTCTGGCAACATGGAAGATGAAGGTCGCTTCAGTGTGACTGGAATTCGTGAGCAAGTCATGAGTTAGGTATCTCTACATGAATGTGTGACTCACATCTTTTTTTTAAAAAAAAAGTTAATTGCTGAAAAAAAGTCTTCTTTTTAAAGATCTTATAGGGGTAAATGGGGCATGTTTCTTGTTTGTTTTTTTTCTGCAGTTCTGCTTAAGACTTTTGGAAATTTAATTTAATAGATTTACACGCTGTGGTTAGAAGGAAAAACTGGGGGGAAATTCAGACAAAAACCAAGTATTAATATCTTTTACTAAAATAAAAACAGCTAAAATGGTGAAAAAAAAAAAAAAAAAAAAAGAACGTTGGGCAAAAAAAACGCCGAAAACCAAAACAAGGGCAACCCCCCTTTCCTTAAAATTTCCCCAAAGAACCGAAAAATCCTATTATTCCTTTTGTTTTCTAAATAGTCTTAAGCAACAAAACTCCAGGCTTTTTTCATTAATTTTCCTGCAACTGACCAAGAAAAAACTCCAGCAAAGCCCTGCCGCAGGACCTGAAGCATGCATCTGGCCCTTCATTTTATTCATCTACTGTTCACTGAAGCTTCATCAAAAATGCTCTCAGTGAAAGGGTGACTGTCAAGAAGCTGTTTTTAAGGAAGGGAAACAGAGAGAAGGTGCTGAGGTACGCCAAATTACACATGAAGTAGACTGAAAACCTTGTCTCGGGAAGTTCAGGCTGTGTTTTAGAACAAAGGTGGTCATAGCAAATATTGACTTTCAAGCTTATCTGAACTCCACAAACTCTGTTTTACCGTAATGTACTGCATATCCATTTTTATCTCAAGTTATATTTTTAAAAAGTCATGTCTTGGGTTGCTCAAGACTTTTGCACAGTAGTGTACATTTGCAATTAAAGATTACAACAACAAAAAAAGCTCAGAAAATCCTCGCCTTTGGATAAACAAATTGTCCAGATTCAAATATATTTGATCTATAACTTTATAAAATAGATTAAAGTAACAAACCCTCTTAGTTCAAAATGCAGATACAGTTTCTTCCTGTAGAGGGGAGTAGCGTACTTTGGTGGTGTTCTCCCCTTCAAGTCTCCAAACAAAAACAGAAGAGCAGCAGTACTCCGAGGGGATATCGGGAAATGTAGTTTAATCTTCACCTCTCTCTTATTTTCTTCTATTCTGAAGCATTAGTTGCCGGCCTACAGTTCCCGACATGACTTGTGCTTCTGTACCGGTGGAAACTTAGTTGCTGAATGACTGAAGTGAATTTTGTCATCTCCCGGACGCCGTGTATGTTTTAATCGAGGGTAACACTTTATTCTGTGTCTGTAGGTAATGCCGTGGCTGTGTGGTAGCAGTGATCTTCCTTGGTGATAGATCGAGGCTGACAGCAGGGACTTTACCCTCTGCTGCACCTCGCTAGTTTAGAGTTCACCTCGGTTAGCTCTGTTTTCGTAACGTGTTTCACTGAGTTCCTGTTGCCTAACCTGTGCCCTGTGCTGTTGAAATGCTAATAATCTGAGTTTTATGGCAGAACTAGATAGTGTTACAAAAAAAAATATTTAATGAGGAAAACGTCACATCCTGGGGAGCTCATTGCACCAGTGTTGCACCATCAGGAACCGTCAACTTTTTTTCTCTCTCGTTTATTTTAACGTCAGGTATGCAGTTGATTCGACAACTTCCGCTTTACTCAATGTGTTACAGTTGGCCACACCATCACCATCTCTGACATCCCTGACCGTGACAGGAGGTCTAACTGTACCAGGTAACACAGGTTAGTGAAAAGAGCAGAAACAGCTGTTAGACTGATGTTAATGGCCTAACAAAGGCTTTTTAAATGTGAGGCTTTTGCTGCTTTTCTTGTCTTGTTTATTTGAAATCCTTTGAGTTTTCACAGTTTTGTATTGAAAGACTGATGAGGATTTGTGACTGCTGATTAACTGATGTTGTTCAAACAGAATGTCCAAATAATTTAGTTTAAAAGAGTTTTAAATGGATGTTTGTATGTTTTCATTGTCTCTTAAAACCACGAACTTGGTAGCTTTAATAGTTTTTAGATCAAACTCCAACTTTCTAATCGATCTCTTATGTAAGGAACACAGACTGTTTCGATCCTGTGCATATGCTTTATCTCACTCTCAGTGGCTCTGTGGTGACAGCTGGTGTCTTTTGTTCACAGCACAGCCATGAGGGGACTTTGGGGCGGAGCGGCTGCATTAGGGTCGGTGTCTGTGGCGTTTGGCTCGATGCTGTGGTCACAGCAGAAGACTAAACCGGAAAAGGCTGCTACGGGTTCCAACCATGCTGACACCAACGCTGATTCCCCATACGAGCTAAAGCTGGTCCAGATCTTGTTCCGACATGGCGCCCGAACGCCCCTAAAGTCAATACCTGATATTATGGAGGTAAAACTGTCTTCCGTTAAGAGCATGTTTTGTAGAAAATGATGTTTCACACATGAAAAAAACCTGCAAATTCTTTTTTTAACAAAGGCCCAGTGGGTGCCAACGCTTTTGGAGCCACCGCCGCACACCAGCATCGACTATGTAGTGACAGATCTTCAGGGTGGCCCCAGGCCCCCGGCTCCTATAGAAGACAGCTATCGGAAAAACATACTTAGTGTGAGTCATTGTCTTTTTTGTTTTTTTAAATAGGTGTGATGTGGCTGCTGGCTGTCATCTGGCTTAGTTGACTTTGACTCTCACTATGAAAATGATGGAATAAACTTAATAATGCTGCTTTGCTTTTAGTGCTATTACAAAGTTAATGTCTGAACACATTTCTTCTGGGCTTTCCATAGACCTTATGTGTGTAGCACACTTGTTAGTCTCCTCAGTTCATGTAGTTTTTCTCCATCTAGTGGCTTAAAGGTGCCACTACAGATATCACTGGCCTGGGCTCACTCACTCACTGCTGAACTGTACGTAGAGCTTCCTATTGACATATCGTGTCCAGTCACAGTGTCCGTGGAGCTGTTACTTTCCTGTGCTGAGAGCTGCTTTGCTAAAGAGGTTTAACTTCACTGGATTTAGCTTAGAAAACTAAATCCCCCAATATGGACTCCGGCCATTCTTGTACCACATCCAGCCCGGATTCCTGCATGTGATCCCAGGTGTGTGTCTGCCCGGCCACATCTGTGGGTATATAACCTGATCCTGTTTGTTGTGTTTGGCAGGGTGGCACATTCCCTGGTCAGCTGACCACACTGGGCATGCAGCAGCTGTATGAGTTGGGCAAAAGACTAAGGGGGAGATACATTGAAGAAAGCGATTTCCTTACCTCCACATTTAACCCAGCTGAGGTCTAGTAAGTGGTCCAAATCATAACAAGGAGCAAGGAGAAAAAAAACCCTCATATCTGTGCTCTGACATTTTGATAGATTGGGTTTATGAGTGCAAGTACAAAGGATATGAGTTTAAATGCTTTTACTATTTTAGAACTGGGTCCCTTCCATGACCTATTTTTTTTCTCCTTATTTCTAGCGTGCGCTCCACTAATATTGTGAGGACCATTGAGTCTGCCAAGTGCCTGGTTGCAGGGCTCTTCCAGCAAAAACAAAAAGGTAGAGCGGAGATGTGCAGTATGTTACTTATCCCATTTTTCTGTCTCATCTCATCTGTTTATTTAATTTTTCATTTATTTTGCAATTTCCTGTTCTACTTGCAGCAATTGTGCCTATTTTAACATCGGAGGCCGAATCTGAAATCCTGTATCCTAACTATCACGGATGCAAGATGCTTAAAATCCTTTGCGGGTATGAAGAGAGTGTGTTTTCCTAGCAATAGAGTCCCATCAAGCCTAAACCATCCTACTGGAGCCTTGAAATAATGTGCTGTGGAAACATTATGAGCAGAGTTGAGGCGCGTGTGACAGGTTGTCACGGTGTATCTGTGTTTTGTGGCTGACACCGCATGTGTTCTTTGCAGCCACCGCTGGGCAGAGTCGACCACTCTGCCAGACATCGCAGCAGACCTGCAGAGCATCCAGAGCGAGCTGGGGATCGCTGCTCACCAGAAAGTTGACTTCATCCTCATTAGGGATGACATGGTTGCCAGAGAGGTGACACTGCCACATTGTGATTTATGTGACTTTTTGCTAGCTCTCGCCACAAGCTATCAGAATTACATAGGATTTACTGTAAAGACGTGGCCAGGAAGCCGCAACCTCACAAGCTGCTGCTTATGTAAGATGAAACTCAGCATCAGAGTTCATTAATCTTCTTGAGATCCAGTCTGATATTAACCCAGATATTAAGATTGACAGCATGTGTCCATGTGTCACAATAGAGGGTGAAATCACATTTAATGAGTAGGAAGCCGCAGTTTTTCTGGAGGGTTCTCACTAGTCAAAGCCAGCGGTGGTGTCGATGTCTATCTGTTGTCATTTAATTCTCACAGACAAATGAAATCAATGCATTTAGCTTCATGCTGTTTAAACAGAAATTATACGGGGTTTTTTGAAGACTTGCAACTTGTTCCTTTGCATTAACAGACACACGGCCTGCCCTGCCCTCAAGTGCTCGACACCTGGAGGGATAAAGTGGAACAAAGAGCCGTGGATATGATGTGCCATATCTTCGAGCCCAGCAAGAGGTCAGATTAACCAAAGTCACCAGTCCCAGGGGCTTATCTAAAAGGCCAGATTGAGATTTACCACTTGTGCATTCAGCTTCACAGGCTGCCTTTCTCTTGCTGTCTGTGGCAGAGAGAGCTTGCAGCTGTCTGTGGGACCTCTCCTGCACATGTTGGTGGACAACATCGAGGAGAAACTACAGGGCACCTCATCAGAGCCAAGCAGGTTGCACGTGCATTATTTCACACATAAACGTAACTGTGGTTGGTCTTCAAATGCTTCACTCTTGAAATGCTCTCTCAAACAGGAAGGTGTTTTTGTACTCCGCACATGACACCACTCTGATTCCTTGTCTCTTGGCTTTGGGGATTTTTGACATGAGATGGCCACCGTATGCCGCTGATCTCACTGTGGAGCTGCACCAGAACCGGAAAACGAATGAGGCCTTTGTTAAAGTGTCATATGTAGGCGAGGTAAGAGCTGAGAATGTGTCGCAGGATGAGCAAAAACAAAAAAAAATTGCATTTTTCTTTTCCTTTCTATAACCTCAAGTTGCTTTTTCTTTCTGCAGGATCAACTCATACGGGGTTGTAGTGCAGTCTACTGCCCCCTGGAGGAGTTCAAACAGATCCTCTCCACATACTCGCTGAGCCCTGACGACTACCACTCGCACTGCAACAGAACCGTAGGCCCGACCGAACCCTGAACCTTGAGCAAGCCTTTGCATCGGCACACCGCTGACAGCCAGCACGCATCATGCCTTTTTAACGTCCTCAGTCCTCTCTCCATCCAGCCGGCATCAGTCATTATCATCTCACTGTCAGAGCACGCTGGAGTACAGCCACTTTTGTAGAGCTTTCGGGTTACACCGCTTGCTTTCAGGAGTCAACATCATCTTGTTACCATGGCAATCACATTAAAGGTGCTATAAATGACATTTTGAAGCACTGAATGGTGCACTAGAGCACTGGCATCTTAAGACCAAAGCAATCACCCCCCACCCCCTTTCTCTCTGCAATTCATTTACAAACAGAAAGGTTGTGCACACGTGAGCCAACAAAAAGCATCCAGCCCCGACCATCACTCTATGCAAACACAGTAAAAGCCATTAAATGGCTGTGATATGCTACATGCCCACCCACCATCAGCGGCGCTTTTCCCATGTTTTTTGTCCTGCATTCAGATTGGATGTAACACACACACACAGATTTTGTTGACATCTTAGATGGACTAACAATTGATGGGCTGCTTTTATTGCGCTTACTGTAGTAACATTACCTTGACTTCCCCTGCCTCTTCTGTTTGTGCTCTTTGTGGGGGTGGGGCACCATGTGAATACTCTGAACTGCATTCTGTCTCTTTATAAATGCAGGGAGGACAAACATTTTCAAAGGGAGGGACTCATTCACTAACGCACATGTGGCTACAAAAACAAAGAACAAAGACACTCATTTTACAACACGCAGGAGGCTGGCAGCTTCGTCCTCTGCTAAGATCATCATCACTCCACTACATCTGTATGAATAGCTTTTTGCTGCTATATGAAAAACCTGATATATAGAACCTTTAAAATTAAGTTAAACGATTAGTTCAATAACAGCTGAGTGCAAAGTGGAAGAGGGTGATAGATGCTTTATATTTGAATGCAAGTTAAGCTCACTGATTAAGGCTGAAGTTATTTTATACTTTCTAATTGTTAACACCACAATTAGCTTAGTTTTTAAGAATCAACTGGTAACTCACCTGAACAGGAGTAAAGTTTACATTTGTTTGGGATTCTTTATGGTTGCAAGCATTTGCTGCACTGGGAAAATATAAAGCATATGTGAATGCTGCAAAGAAAATCATGGTTTTTGCAACTAGGGGACATCTCAGTCAGTAAAATGATGTGGTTTGTGTTTTTAATTAACTTAGAAATGAGGCCTTTATGGCACATTGGAATGTATTACATCAGGCTTTAGTCTAGCATTGATATTTATTCATAGGATAAATTCATTGTTTTCTCTCTTTTTGGGATGGTGTTTGTTAACATCTCCAACAGTATTCTCAACCTTTCCTTTACACTTTTAAACAACTACTGCAGTTATGCATCACACTGATATATGGACAGGTTTGTATTATGTGGCCTGTGTCTGATTGCTGATTAAATTATTCCATCAAATCAGTTGCGCTCCCAACTGTATTCATCATATTCAGTTCGATCATTCTTCGGGGAAGTATAGTTTAATGTACTGGATCAAGTGTTTAGAAAGGTGTGTAGAGTAGAGACTGTGTTAGAACACTTATTCTGCTACAACATGTTTTGAATGAAACATTTTGCCTCCTTGTGAGACCACAGTGCAATGCATGCTTGAATCACACGGACCCAAGTGTTGCGCTGTTCCAGCAACACACCTTGTACCTTATCTGTGGGAGGTTCCCATGACCTGCCACTCAAAATGTAAAGATTTATTTTGGTTTGGTGTGACATGAATACAGATTTTAATCAATATGGAGTCTTTTTTTCTCCCCCCTGTAAGCTCACACCTTGCGAGAGGCTCTGAACTATTCCCACAGGCCAAATGAAACTTTTAAAATACAGGTTAGAAAAACCTCAAGGCCTCTTCTGAAGCTAGTGGAGAAGCATTTGAACGCATCAACAAGCTTGAATCTATTTTAGAAGTGTGGTGTCCTCTGAAAAATAGTCTCACTTAGTACCTCCTGATAAAATGTCAGCATATTAATGCTGCTCCTTAATATGACTTGCACTTCTTGTAGCAGAATGTTGGTAAGCTGGTACGAGTATGTACAAGACAAAGACGCGTAACTGGTCCTTGTAAGTGAAATAGTAAAGACTCCTCTGTGGAAACATACACACGTGTGCACACACACACACTCCATAGACATGTATATAACAAAAGAATATCTTTTATTTGTAGTCCATCACCACAGCCCTGGTAGGCTATTCTGCACCAAAGCCAATGGAGAAACACATGACAAGCTTATACAATAGAGAAAAGAGAAGAAGTCAACTGGATGGTAAGCAGTACGTGTTTACATTTCTGTGTCTCACTCCGGACACCACACCTGCCTTACTAAAAAAAAAAAAAAAATTATTTTATTTGTTTAAATTTTTTTATACCAGATCTACCTAGCTCTAGTTCTATAATACCTGGCATACCTGCTGCGGCGCAGCCACTCCTGTCCTATTCTGCTGACCATCGGGAGATTATTGCTGTGGGAATGATCATTACCCAGAGTCAACAAGAGAGTCAAAACAAAACAGGAACACAACAGGAACAAGAAGAACACAGCACATCTGGGTATTAGCAATAGTATTCACGCTGGCGAGCGTCCTGAAAGTTTTGGAGCACAGAGTCAAATGTCATCTACAACTTGAAATGGACTGGAGATTATCATGGTGCTGCAAAGCTGCCAGGATCCTCACACTTAAAATGTGTTTGCTCTCAATGGTAAAAATAGAGAAAGAAGACGCTTTCTGCAGATGGTCCATGTTTGTGCTTTTTTAATAATACTATTATCTTAATGAGGTCATAGTTTGGTTTGTTATACACTGGAGTTACAAAGAAAATTAAAATAGACTAAAATTTGAATAGCCCACCAATGGTAAACAGTACAGTATTTTTAGGGGGACGTTCCTCCCCCAATGAAAGCTTGGTAAGAGGAGTTGAGAGGTCACTGATAGAATGCCTATACATACAGACACATACATACATACCACACAAACGCACATTCGGTCAAGCACGCCAACGCACTCTCACGTATATACTGTACAGATACAGTCAAAACAATGGAGCGAGAGACAAGATGGATTTCCACTAAAGTCTTCACAAAGCACAAATTCTTCTTTCCTTTCTCTTGTTCCATACCACTTTCGCGACAAATTTGTTTTTTTGTTTTGTTTTTTTTTTAATTTCAAAAAAGTAGACATATACTGTAGCATCTCCACGCTGACTTTTAGTTAGGTTTGATTCCTCTTTGATGTCAAAGTCATCTTTACAGTCAGATAATCAAAAAACCCAAAAACAAACAAACAAAAACAACCCAAACCCCCCCACATGAACAGTTTTGCAAAACTGTGTGACCACAACAATCCCATACATTCTGAAGTTCATGAGTCAAAATTAAATGTTCTTGTGGCAAAAGTACTCCAATGCGGCCCTGTCACAGTCTCCGCCGGAATAGTTCACACAGGACATTACCAGGTGACTGGTTATCTCCACTCTGCTCATTTTCTGGGTACGCTATCTCGTTCATATTTTACCTCCTTTACTCGAGTCCATCAGTTTAATGAATACTCTCCGGAGTCCGATATCATTACTCCTTCCTTGTGTATTGTCCAAGAACATTCTAGTTACAATGTTTCTGTTGGATTAGAACATTCCAGGGCCCGGACTGAAGCCCATGTCCATGTCACGAGGCCTCATCTGACCCCCCATCATCATTGTCTGCTGCGGGGGGCCGCCCATGCCCTGCAGTGACATCATCATGTTAGGTGAGCCTCCAGGACCTGGGTGGGCCATTTGTCTCCCCTGGATCATTCCTCCTGGGCCCCCAGGGGACATCATCCGGTGCTGAGGGCCCATCATGCCTTGGCCCATGAATCCCGGTGGCCGCATTGAATTGTGGCCAGGGTTGCCCATTGGCATGTCTTGAGGGCCCATTCCCCCAGGACCAGGTCCCCCTGACATTCCCCCCATCCCCTGCATTGGCATCCCCATCCTTGGTGGGCCGTCGCCCATCATGCTCTGCATGGGAAAGCCAGAAGGGTGTGGCGGTTTCCCCCCGGGGTTGTCTCCTCCACCTCGAGGGTAGTAAGACAGAGTCTGACTAGGCTTCTCTGAAGGGATTATCCTGGACAGGTCAAACTCGGGAATACCAGAAGCTCCCGGCCGCATTACCTCATGAAGGTCTGCGTCACTGAATCCACCTTGCATGTTATTGAACTCTGGCCCACCAGGGGTATTGGGTTTGCACATAACCCCATCAGCCCCACCCCCATGAGACATATTCCCCATCCGTCCTCCCATAGGTCCTCCCTCTCCCTGGAAACCCATAGGATGGCCAGGGAAGCCTTGGGGACCGGGACCATTGTGCGGAGAGAAAGGGCCTTGCTGGGAGGGTGACTGGGTTAGGGGGTATCCCTGGCCCCGGTGAGGGTAACCCATGCGTCCCTGTGGCATCATTTGAGGGTTGGCCATACCAGGGTCTTGAGGATTTGGTGGTATCATCATACCATGAGGCATCATGCCTGGGCCCATATTTGGGGCATTGGGAGAGGGCATCTGTGGGGGCATGCCATGTGAGAGAGGCTGGGATCCCATTGGATTCATACCTAGAGGGCTGAGGGCAGGCATAGGTCCAGCATTTCCAGGTCCCATCATACGTGGATTGCCTTGGTGATTCATTGCCATACCTATAAGTCAAAAAGAAATTATTATATACAGAATATAGCGACTGGTAAAGTAGCTCAAGTTCAGAGAACTGAAATTAAATACTATACAGAAGATATTTCACGTCTTACCATTATTGTTCCCTGACGGCAGGTTAGGGGAACGAGCTGGCGGTGAGTCATCATCAGAGCTAGCAACAGTCTTTATGGCATCGTGGTAAAGTGGGGTGGAGCTGGGCATTGCAAACTTGGACATGCGTGACATCATGATGGAGAGCGGGTTCTGGGATAGTGTTGGTTCAGGAGGTATGGTGTAAGGGCTACCAGACGGAACATTGCCTGGGAGAGACATGGAGCCAGATGGAGCCCCTGATGAAGGAGGGGCTGAGGGAGGGCCGTTACCACCTAGACGACAACATATGAAGAAACAGAGGACATGACAAAGAAATAATAAAATACAACAGTCGATTCTTTTTCTTCTTGTGGATTGTTTTACATTAAACTACCACAAGTGACATTCCTTGTAATTTGTGTGCAAATTCAGACTTAGTAAGATAATGTGGCTACTACATTATGTGGCCAGAAGAGGGAGCCACTGGACCATAACCCACCCAACCCCACCCCACAGATGTGTTAATCTGAAAGATCTGATGAACATGGAAGATAAACACATCAGATCCATATCATTTTTAGTTTTTAGGTTGATTCTGTTTCAACAAGTTGAGTCAAATATCTGAAATGTGATCACTGAGACAATAACTATAACTAAAATTCAACCCCATATCATTTAAAAAAATAAAATCCCAATATTAACTGAATACAACTTCTCTTTTTTCATTGTTTTTATTTAGGAATTTTCTTTTTGCAAGAAAAGGGTACAGATGACAACAGAAAAGGAAAAACAATGTATACCTTGCTCCATACTTGGCATCATATTTGGTGAGGTGATACTGAGCGGAGGCTTGCCACCCTGAGGGGGCACTCCGGGACTCTGCATGGGTGGTTTTGGTGAGGAAGCCCATCCTGGAGATGGGTTAGGAAGAGAAGGAGATCTCATATGAACAGGAGAAGCACCTGCTGATCCCATCATGGAGTGAGGAGACTTCATTGGTGCTGAAGTTGGAGGTGCTGGGGGGGCAGCAGGGCCTGTGGAACCGGTGAGCATGCCAGCCAGTTGGGACGGTGTTTGAGGGGACTTAAGATTAGCCGAGGGAGAGCCCATCATGGGGGACTGCACTTGCCTCAGAGGAGGGGACTTAAGTGGATTAACACTGGGAGAGTTCCCACCTCCTGCTTGGACATTCAGATCTGCTGGCTTGCGGCCCCTCTGGCCTTGTGCAGGACCCCCAGCAGAGGGAATATGATTAATACGGCCATTGCCTCCAGTTGGTGTAGATCTGTGCTCCGGACCAAATGCTTGGTCTGCATGTGGACCCCTCATTCCTCCAGCACCCCCAGGGAAGGATCTCCCAGGCCCTATAGGAAAGTCTCCTGGTTGCGCCTGCTCAGGGAATGACCGACCCTGCATGGGCCTGCCTTGTGGACCCATATTCTCCATTGGCCCTCCACCCCCTCTCATTCTCATCATCTCATCAGGGCTCATATTCATGGGGGGATCTCGTAGTTTTGAAGGATGCATATGAGGTCCTGGCCCCGGACCAGGCCCCATGCCGAACTCAGGTCCCATTTCCCGGCCCCCTATTCCTGGCAGTCTAGAGGAAGGACTCATGGGACCATCACTGGGCATTCTGGGAAACATACCCATGCCATTACCTGGTTCCATTCCACTTCTTTGGTGTCCCATCATCCTCTGCATGTCCATCATCATCCCAGGAGGAAGACCCTTCTCTCCACCCATTCCTTGGTGAAACATTGCCTCTTGGACTGACTGAGGGTTTGGGAAACGCTCACCACGAGCTCCTGGACCAGCAAACATTGGCCCAGGTCCTCCAGGGAAACGCGCTTCTCCTATACGGGGAGGCAACTCATCAGGCCATCCCATTCCAGGCCTCGGGGGGCCCTCCATCTCGGGATTCATCATGCCAGAGAAGCCAGGCATCCTCTGCATATGTGGGGGC